AGGGTGAACCAGCAAATTGGAGTGTCCCCCCTGCCCCCCACAAAATCCAATTCCTCCTACACAATCACCCACCTGGAAACTGGGTCCATGTTCACTCTATGGGACTCTCTTCTGAGCTGCACTGGAAAGAGAAGCATGGCTATGAACCAAGATACAACTGAGCTCAATTGGTGATTCTCGTCATCCCTCAGAGATTTTAGTCTCTAGGATGAACGGCCCCGATATGCTACAGCCCATCTGTGAGAGTCAGGGTAGGCACGTCCATGCCCTGCATGAGGCCAGAGGTGTATGCAGTTCTGTCACTGTCTCAGAGACAGGTCCACAGAGATCTGAGCTAATGTGAAGCCTGCAGAAGCATCTTTATCTGCAAAATGCTAATGAGCCCTTCAACCCCAGTCCTAATGTAATCATACTCCTCTCTCTGTTGGATGCAGCTCAAACCCAGCCTACAGCAGCATCCAGATGGTAGCAGTGTCAATTCTGCATGGCCTCTATCCTTTAGAACTGGAGAATCAACCACCTCTCACTGAATGTCACTGTTCCTTCAATTCTGACTCCCCCGTGGTGCTCTGGGTGGATCCTTTGGGTTGGATTCCCCAGGCTAGATTACACCAAGGAGGCCGTGTATCTTACAAGTGGTCAACTGATTGGCAATGAGCTCAGAATAGAGAAGAAGAGAAATAATTCTATCTTGTGACTCACATCTCAAAGGAAGAATTATCATTTTCCAATTAAATAAATACTTCTGGAGTAAGGCTTTCTCAACTATTTAAAAATAGATGGCATACCAAAAACTGGATGGAAGTGTAAATAACAACCTACAAATGGTGGCTACTTCTGGATGAAGGGATTAGTACGGTTCTTGATAACTTTCCCATTTCATTCAGGGTCTGTAATGAGCATGGAATACTATCATAACCAGAGCAAGCATAGTGAATGTTTTGTTAAGTCTTATTTTATGACACATTACCAAATATTCACACTCAGACCACATTCGTGCAATGCACTCAAGAAGTCACTTGAAAGAGATGAATGTTGGCATTCCCAGAAAGTCTCAATTCCAGGCTTTTGTCTCTAGCAACAAGCCAAACTTGAATGAAGATTCCACTTAAAGCAACTAAAAATTCTGGGTGCCATGGTTTTTTTTTGTTGTTGTTGTTTTTTTTTTTTTTTACAAATTGTTTTAGATGCAGTGGTGACCTAGTCACTGGGAATTCATAGCAAGAAGGGGAATCACCGAACAAGCATTTTCCAAACCAAAGCGTTGGCCAAAACTGGATGAACATGAGCGTAAGTTTCCTTAGCTTTTTAAGGAAGGAGAGAAAAGAGAGAGAGCCTGGTGTCCACCCAGGTGAGAAATCTGTCCCATGCCTGCACAGAGCCCAACTCCATCCAATCAGCTCATTTCAGGGAAGGGTGAACTGGAACTAAATCCAGCCTGCTACTCCCAAGGCAGCTAGAGCAAGTGCTGCTTTGAAGACTGAGTCTGGACAAAGAAAAAAAAATCTCCATGTAGAATTCATGACAACATACCATGCTTTGTGCAGGTATGCAGCCCAGATTTGCACAGCAGGGATTGTCTACAGCTTTAGTCCTATGCATTAGCTTAAAGCACTCCCACTAGAGGAGCACCCAGGAGCCAGCAGATTCAAGAAGCTAACGAATACCGAGTCTTATAAATTAAAAAAAAAAAAAAAAAAAACACTGTGAAAGATAATAAAAGTGAGGAACAAAAAAAAAATGAGAAAAATCATAAAACCAGTCAAGGACAGAAGATACACTGTCTTAGCTGAACAGCAATTAGACTGACATCTAAAAGCAGCAATGGAAGACAAGATGCTGTGGAAAAAGATACCCGTGTGCTGAGACAAAGTAACCCTCAGCCTAGAACAATATCCCTGGCAAAACATCACGCAACAACAACAAAGGAAACAAAGATATTTTTAGGTTAAAAAAATTAGTATTTTCTATAATCACCAATATACTCTCACCAAAGGAATTCAAAAGGATGCACAATGGATAGTGAACAACGTGGTTTCCCAAAGGGGAGGTCTAAGCTGAAAGATGGGATGTTAAGACTAAAATGGGCTAACTATATGGATAAAACTAAACATACAACAATAAAACAGTCAAGTAACAAAAAAAATGTGTGATTTAGCTTAAAAAAAGAGAGAAAGAAGCAAAATTTAAAAAGTGACCAAAATATATAATAATTAGGGAAAGAGATGAAATTGTTCCCTGTTGTGTATGGTTTCATTCCCTGTACTTTGGTTCACCTTCGATCAACTTCAGCTTGCAAATATTAATGGAATTTGGAAAACATTATGCTGAGTGAAATAAGCCAGTCCCAAAGGGACAAATATCATATGTTCTCCCTGATCGGTGACAACTAACCGAGCACCAAAAAGGAAACCTGTTAAAGTGAAATGAACACTATGAGAAATGGTGACTTGATCAACTCTTGCCCTGACTGTTGATGAACAACTTAATACGTTATCCCTCTTAGTATTTTTTGGTTTGTTCTACTTAATACTTTTGGTTGAATACTGTAATCAATACACAGTTATTCTTAAGTGTTGAAACTTAACTGAAAAGTGATCACTGTTAAATATAAGAGAGGGAATAAGAGAGGGAGGAGATGTACGATTTTGGACATGCTCAAGCTGATTTGCCCAAATGGTAGAGTTAGAAACATACCAGGGGATTCCAATTCAATCCCATCAAGGTGGCATGTACCAATGCCATCTCACTAGTCCAAGTGATCAATTTCTTTTCACAGTTGATCATAATGATAGGACTAAGAGCCAAAGGGATCACATAAACAAGACTAGTGTCTGCAAATACTAACTGATAGAATCAAAAAGGGAGAGAATGAACCAACATGGGAAGCGGGATACACAGCAGACTCATAGAATGGCAGATGTCCTAAACAGCACTCTGGCCTCAGAATCAGCCCTTAAGGCATGCGGATCCGGCTGAAAAGCCCATGAGAGTATTTCAGGCATGGAAAGCCAAGACACTCTGTAAAAAAAAAATGACCTAAATGAAAGATCTCCGCGAGTGAGATGCCAGTGGAAAGAACAGGTCTTCAAAGAAGGAGGTACCTTTCTCTGAAGGGAGGAGAGAACTTCCACTCTGACTGCGGCCTTGTCTAAATATGATCAGAGTCGGTGAACTCAAAAGGCTTCCATAGCCTTGGCAACTCATGACAAGAGCCTAGGGTGATTACTGATGCCATAAACAAGAGTGTCAATTTGTTAAGTCAACAACAGGAGTCACTGTGCACTTACTCCTCATGTAGGATCTCTGTCCTTAATGTGCTGTACATTGTGATTTAATGCTATAACTAGTACTCAAACAGCATTTTTCACTTTGTGTTTCTATGTGGGTGCAAACTGTTGAAATCTTTA